GGGTTTCCCCTAGCAATTGCTTGAAGAGGCCGAACTTGGCCCTGCTGAAGTCCAGAGTTGCGATCCTGCTTGGTATTCTGTTCCTATGGCCCAAGATCCTGAACTGTACCACCTCATGGTCGCTGCGGACAAGGTTGCCCTCAACCTTCTCTCCTTCAACCAGACCTTCCTTGTTGGTGAGCACAAGGTCCAGCAGCGCTCCTCTCCTGGTCGGCTCATCCACCGTTTGCATCGAGAAGTTATCATCTATGTACTGGAGGAACCTCCTGTATATGGCTGGCTGTGTAGGCCTTCCAGCAAATATCTGGGTAGTTGAAATCTCCCTGTGATTGAGCAGCTGGTGTCAGCTGGCCTGTAAAAGGCCTCATCAACTTTCTCATCCTAATCAGGTGGTCTGTAATAGACACATACCACAGTATCACTTATGCTAGTCTGCCCCTTCATTCTCACCCACAAACTCTCAACTTGCTCCTCATCCACCCCTGGGTAGATCTCGATACATTCCAATTGCTCTTTCGTGTGAAGAGCAACTCCACCACCTCGCCTTGTTTGCCTGTCTTCCCTAAAAATGACATAGCTGTCAAGGGCCACATTCCAGTTATGTGAATTGTCCCACCATGTCTCTAATTGCATAGATCTTTGACCACACCCAGATTTCTAGTTCACCCTTCTTATTCCCCATGTTTCTTGCACTGGTATACAGACACTTTAGACACTTAATTGAGGAGCATCTGTTACCATTGCTCATGCCGTATGTGTTGGTGTGAATGCACTTGAGCTGGGCTATTGTTCTCACCTCTAACCCTGGAATACTTCCCCCTGGCTTGTCTGTAGTGAGCCCAGTTTTATCCCCTTCCCCCTTCAAACCTAGTTTAAAGCCCTTTCAGTCAGTCCTGCCTGCTCAAAAGCAAGAATTATTTTCCTTCTTGCAGACAGCCCCACTCCATCTGTTGCTCTCATACCCATTGCTGCATAAACTTCCCTGTAATCAAAAACCCCAAAATGTTGCTGGTGGCACCAGCCTTTGAGCCATAATACTGTTCCTGTTCCTCCACAGCCCACAGGATGTTAGACCCTGTACCCCAGGAGTGTTCGGCACAGCAGGTAGAATTTACTCACCTTAGAGGTAACCTCTCCTTTCAAAAAAGCCCATCCCACCCTCTGCCAGCTCTTGGTAACATGAAGACCCGTGCTCCAGAAACAAGGTTGAGTGCAAAGGCTTTAGCATTAAGAGTTAAATCCAGCTGGCGGTCAGTCATGAGTGGTGTCCCCAAAGGCTCAGTACTGAGCCCAATTCTGTTTAACATTTTCATCAATGACATTTTTGTCAATGAGGCTCTGCAGCGGCTGGATCGCTGGGCCAAGGCCAATCCCATGAGTTTCAGTAAGACCAAATGTCGGGTCCTGCACTTTGGCCGCAACAACCCCCAGCAGCGCTACAGGCTCAGGGGGAGTGGCTGTAGAGCTGTCAGGCGGAGAGGGACCTGAGGGTGTTGATGGACAGCCGGCTGAACATGAGCCAGCCGTGTGCCCAGGGGCACAAGAAAGCCAATGGCATTCTGGCTTGTATTAGGAATAGTGTGGCCAGTAGGACCAGGGAAGTGATTGTGCCCCTGTACCCAGCACTGGTGAGGCCACACCTCGAGTCCTGTGTGCAGTTCTGGGCTGCGCAGTACAGGAAGGACATTGAGGTGTTGGAGAAGGTACAGATAAGGGCAACCAGAATGATTAGGGGACTAGAGGGAAAGTCCTATGAGGAGAGGCTGGGGGGAC